AGAAGTGTATCAGTATCTTGGAGCTTCCTGCAAGTCTGTAGTATACAGGGTTTATTTTATCATAAGTAGGCTTGTTATAGTTCCCGACGAGGCTGGATTAGACTTTTGATTGTATTCAATTTTTGGGGTTTAATTTCTGTTAGAATTTTGTAATGAAGTATTTCCTATGATGATTTTGTTATCCCTGTCTGACATATAATGGAGAAAGTGGAAGTCTGAGATGTATTTCATACTTATGGTCTATATAAGTAGTATATTAAAAGAAGTGTATCAGTATCTTGGAGCTTCCTGCAAGTGTGAACTATACAACAGTTTATTTTATCATAAGTAGACTTGTTATAGTTTCCGACGAGTTTGGATTAAAGACTTTTGACCGTATTCATTTTTTTGGGTTTAATTTCTGTTAGAATTTCATAATGAAGTATTTTCTATGATGATTTTGTTATCCCTGTCTGACATATAATGGAGAAAGTGAATGTCTGAGAATGTATTTCATACTTATGGTCTATGAGCAGTACATTAAAAGAAGTGTATCAGTATCTTGGAGCTTCCTGCAAGTGTGAACTATACACGGTTTATTTTATCATACGTAGGCTTGTTATAGTGCCCGACGAGGCTGGATTAGACTTTTGATTGTATTCATTTTTTGGGGTTTAATTTCTGTTAGAATTTCATAATGAAGTATTTCCTATGATGATTTTGTTATCCCTGTCTGACATATAATGGAGAAAGTGGATGTCTGAGATGTATTTCATACTTATGGTCTATATAAGTAGTATATTAAAAGAAGTGTATCAGTATCTTGGAGCTTCCTGCAAGTGTGAACTAACTATACAGGGTGTATTTTATCATAAGTAGACTTGTTATAGTTATTCTAGTATAAATAAAAGGAATCCGAACATTCTTAGCGATTTTATATTTGTAAAAGTTAAAATTTTTTGTGTAAGCTGAGACATATAAATTATTTGAGGTAGTATTGTAGCAAAAATGATGGTTAGCAAGTTTGTAAAATAAAACTGAGTTGTTTTATTTATTGGTAAATAGAACATGAAGAAGTGTTTCATTAGTTTATAAGGTATACAATGTGAAAGATTAATAAAAAATGAATCTAAAGAAATTTTGGCACATCTGTTTTCAGATTCCTGAGTTAATAGTATATAAGTAACTGGCGGCCATTTCACTGGCTGAATTTTTCAGTTTTTTACTTTATTTGATTGTTTTTTCAGAAATAAAATTTTAAGATAAAATAGTTCAGAGTAATTTTTCTGGATAAACAATGTATTTTACTGTCTTTTAGCACAGAATATTTTATTTTGATTATAAATATGATTCTTGTGAGAAAGTTAAATATGAAATATTTCCTATGATGATTTTGTTATCCCTGTCTGACATATAATGGAGAAAATACCATCTGAGAATATATTTCATATTTATTATATAAATGCCATGAAACATTTTTGCATATTCAAAAATCAAATACGGTTAATCCTGTTCATAAGAGATTAAGAATGCAAGCTTTGAAGCAAATATTAAATGTATACCATTCAGTGGTGAATAAGTGAATATGATGATTTCGTTATCCCTGTCTGATGCAGTATGAAGAATACAGTATCTGATAATCTTTAGAAGCTGTACATTTTCACGTGTAAATATACTTCTGTGAACTGCGTCCCATTCTACTGAGCCGTTTGATAAAATTCAAATTGTGTTTTTCATGTCTCGAAAGTGCGACTTAGGTATCTATTAGATTTATATTCTAACATAGGTATTTTGACACAAAATTAGACTTTTTTTTTAAATCTTTTTTCCATATTTGGATTCTACAACTCAAATTATGGGTAGATATTAAATTTTGTAAAATTTGGTGTGAAATTTATGGAGAAATTCAAAAATTTATCTTGGCGAAATTTTTTCAGTTTGAGCCAAGAATGATTCACTTGGCGAACTTCAATGCACCAATATATAAATTCATGTATATCTTCGGAAATTTTGACTAAAAAAACTAATTTTTTGCAGGTTTGCTTAGAAATACGTCTACTTTAAGATGATGGTAAACATTTTATAGATTATAATTCAAAATTTTTATGAAAAATTTATAAAAATTATTTAAAAATACAAATTTTAAAAATCATAAAAATGAGTGAATTTTATTTGTATTGAACCTGAGTTTTGAAATGTGAAAGAAAGAATCAAATAAGTTTAATAAAAAAAAGAGAGATTAATAAATATATACCAAACTCAATTAACATTGAAGAGCTAAAATTTTAGAGAGCTAATTTTTTAAAAGCTACTCGTGTGATTTTTACAAAACTTATGAATGTTGTAGAAATTACTTCATAATTTGAGTCGTAGAATTGAAATATGGAATTTTTTTATCTTATTTCAGAAAAAGTCCAAGTTTGTGTCAAAATACCTATATTAGAACTATGCTATACATAAATCTAGTACATATTCTATCCTAAGTCCCGCTTTCGGGGCATGAAAAACTCAAGTTAAATTTCGTCAGTCGGCCCAATAGAATGGGAGATATAGAACTGTCCCCCCTTTTTTCACAGTGTACCATTTTTTAGTGCAATGAATTTTTATATGTTATGTAATTAACATACAAGAGATTTGATGTTTTTTCAAGAGATACTGCCTGCACATAATTAGAACCTTCTACTCTGAAATCCTGGAATAGTAGGTGTCGGAACTGTGCTAAATTAAAACGAAATGTTTTGCTGCAAAATAATTTTATTTGTTGTTTTGCTGCTTGTAAACATTTCACAATAACTGTAAAAGAAATTATGTATTTTATTTACTCTTAGGTAAATTTTTAGTTATTCTTATTTGTGCTTAGATTTTTTCTCCCTATATCCCTTACTGCAAAAAATTAACAAATTGCATTATTTTCTGGTATATTGTTAAAAATTGTGAATAAAGTTAACCTGCTGTCAAACTTTTAACTTTCATTAACTTCAATCCCCCCTTCTCCCTGCATTATACAGAGTGTCTATGCTGTAGCACGAAAATAAGTAGACTTCTACTTCCAATCACAAAAGTGTTTTAACTGGTGCAAATATTTGTTTTAACATTATATAAGGTTAGTGGGAAATATAAGAAGGAAAATCTCATAACTCTTATATTAAAGATACAACCAATTGTTGTATTGCCATAAATTATCAACTTAGAATTTTTTAGTAGCCAACTGCATGAATATTTTGTATTTTTGTTTAGTTAATAAAAAAATGGAACTTGTAGCTTCCTAATTCATTCATGGAATTTTGTTCAGTATATCTCTTAAAACTACTTTTTGGATTTGTTTTGTCTGCTTATTTTTTAATTATTTTTGGTTCCCTGTATGTATTTATTTAGGGGGTATGATTAGATATGCATAGGTCAGTTCATTCATATATTGCAGTATTATATCATTGGCATAATGATTTGTAACTGCCAAAGATCTTGCCAAATTTAATGTAGACAGAAGAGAGCTATTGGTAAAGAGCAAGTAATTTGCTTTACTTCAATTACAAATATAAAAAGAAAAAAAAAAACATGCTCTAAAATAAGTATAGTTTAATTTTATAAGATAAATATTTTGATATAAATACTGTGGCTCAGAAAAAAAACTTGTTGTTTAGAAAATTGAACTGTAAATTGAATTAATTTGCAGTTTAATTAACTAAAAAAAAGAATATTAATTCTATCGCAGAATTTATAATTTTGGCAATGTTTATTGATGTCATACTGTAATATAAGACAGTTGTTGGCTTAGAAAGGGGGAAATTGGAAGCTGGAGACCATTCAATGACATGCTGTAATCATTTTAGCAAGGAGATGCAGTATACAACATGCAGTACTTTTCTATGCACTTCATTAGAACCTTCTATTCTGTATCCTAGAATAGTGGGTGTCGGAATTGTGCTAAATGAAGGAAGATGTTTGTGCTGCAAAATTAGCTTCATTTGTTGTTTTGCTGCATTATATGCATTTTACATTATGGCAATAGAATTTATGCATAAAGCTGCACATTTAGTAGCTTTTTGACATACAGACAAAAGAATGGTTTTAAATTTGCATTTTTAATGTAGGGTTGGGATTATTATTTTTGATTATCGTATTTCCATCATAAATTTAGGCATCATAAATTTTGAAAAAAAAAATGCAAAGTAATCGTACTGCCAGGCATTTTGTAAAATAGCTTAATAAATGAAACAAACTTGCTATTTTATTTAAGCACAGGTTAAGAACTATGTAACTTTATAGATATATAGTGTCAAACTGTGCAAAATTAAATTGAAAATCCATTGATGCAATTCTGAGAATTGCTTTGGGTTATATTCATACAGTATATGCTATGAGTATGTGGCATGAGACTAAAAAAATCTTACTTCCATAAGTCACTCGAGTTATTAAATTAATAGGCAAAATATTGAAACTTGTGTTAAAGAAATTTAAATGAAAGAACTAAAGAATATTCAAGTAAGCTCAAACACAAAAATTTTATATCTATGTTCTGTGGCGTGATCTAGAAGCTTGAGCTCTCCATTGAGTATATATGAGACTCTTCTATTGTGATGGTTTGCTTGTTTTTGGAGGAGTCAGTTTAAAATGGGGCTCTGTCACAGATGTTTTTTTAACTGCATAAAAGTATGTTGGCAAGATTTTTCATCCTCGAGTAAAGGATGTATCAGTTGTTATTCAGGTATTAGTGTTGAATTCTGAATCAGCTGATCTAACGGTTTAATTTATGCCAGCAGGGGCAAGTAAGTACTTAGGTGCTGTGAATTGTCTTCAGATGACCTTTACAAGAAAGATTACTTTTCAATGCTTCCCTTTGCATGAATTTTTTAATTTTGCCCTTCTATTTATATCCTTGTAAAAAGGTAGTAATAGGATATCAAAAATAATGTAGTATAATCTGTTACATAAATATTAAAATTTTACTGCTAAATTTATTTTATGTTGATCTTAAAACTAGTATTTTTAAAGTACTGCTACAAATGTTTTTCTTCATTTAGGGCTACTACAAAGTTCTTGGGAAAGGTCGTTTACCAAGGCAACCTGTAATTGTAAAGGCAAGATTTTTTAGTAAAGAGGCCGAAGCAAAGATTAAGGCTGTTGGTGGAGCTTGTATATTGACAGCTTAAAAAGAAATAAAAAGTTATTTGTAAACTTGTTTGTCTTGTATTATTTTGAATTCCACTTTTACTATATTTAACTTATATTTGAATAATTTGTTCTGATACTTAATCATTACAAAAGTATTATTCTGTTGCATATTTAAAGTGGAAAAATATCAGTGAAGTTTCAACAACTAAACAATGTGTATTTATGCCTATAATACATTTTATTAAATAAAGCATAATAAAATTTGCCACTGCAATATTTTGCACTCTTGATACTTGCTTAAAAGAAGCTGAACAGATCTTACAATTTGCTGATATCTGCAAATAAACTATAGATGTATTTAAAGAAAAACAAAACTTCTCTTGATAAAGTGTTGTATATGTTACGGTGAAACACCGAAATCTGGAGAATGTCAACATTCATATAGTCGCTTGGTGTATGTCCAAAAAATTTTCCAGATACTCTTATTTCTGACTTACACCGGTCAATGTCGACATTCCCCATGTACTAATGGTGAATGTTGAACATATAAGAATATTATATTTTCCTCTCCGTAATCCAGTCGCGAAAAAACGCACTTGAAACTTAAAATAAGAACATAAGACTTTAAAACACACAGTACATTCAAAATGAAAAAGGAGAATAATAGAAGTTAAAAACTTACTAAATTATGTGATTCAAATCTTATTTATTGCAACAACTTAAACTATTATGACACTTTGAGTTGCACAAGGAGGTCCTTGCTTTCACAAATGAATTTACTTGTGGAAAATTTCCTTTTGCAACTACAGCGTGTACATATACTCCTCTCTTTCTGACCTACACCAGAGCATATCTGTGATTGTCGACATACACCGGTGAGGGTCCAAATGCACAAGAATTTAATGCAATATTCGATCTTTCACCGACGTATTTGGTGAATGTTGACATTCTCCAATTTCGGTCTTTCACGGCAACACATACGGAAGTGTATCACATGGAAATCTTGACATTATTTAATGAGCGCTGTTATAAAACCATCTAGCTGATCTGATTTTCATTGGTTTGTTAATGGAATAATCAATTTTCCTGTTTGACAAATACTTAAAACCTTTTATCATATAATACGTTTTTAACCTTCTATATACATCTAAAATTTGCTATATTGAAAGAAAAAAACACTGAGCATTTTTTATTTCCAGCATTGCACTTAAGTACGAATCAGAACTCTAAAAGACAACTGATGAACAGGATCAAACCATAACATGGGGGACTTTCCCTCCTTCAATAGTAAATTCCCTCTTTTCGGAGAAGAGCAAACTCATTTAACGTGGCCCTGTTTCACGTAAAATGTTCCGAATGATTTGGAGTGTTTTGATAGAATGCTATTCAAAGTTGTGTTTGACACAGTTGAACTTTGTAATTGTCTAATAAGAACTGTTATAGTATACAGGGCCTCACATTTGTTTTCAGATATTTAAGGTTTTTGATGATTATTAGCATAAATATTGAAGCTTAAAATTTTTTTTCTAATATTTTCTCTATGTTAAGCTTTGCTTTGTAAAATAAATATCTATTCTCTGGATCAAAATTTGTCCAAAAAGTGTTAAATTGTAACTCATGTATCTTGGACACTTCAATTTATTGTTGAAATGTTTTGTTTTGAAAGAAAATATATCAGAAGAGTTGCCAAAATTTTTCCTTGTTTATAGGGGGTCCTTACATTTGAAAATCTCTACATATAATAAAAGAGTCTGTCTGTGTCTTTCGTTTGTGCTGCACGTAAGCTAATAGAACCATGGCTACGAAATTTGTTACATAGGTGCATCTAGACAAGAGCCAGTGCACCTTGAAGCGATTTTTTTTTAAATTCGAATTTTTTTAAATTTTATGTTTTGTGATGATATTTCGAGACATGGGCTATAGGAAAGCGAGATTTTGCTCTACACACTCCATTTTCACATCGTCATGAAACGTAGGCATATTTTATGGACTTAAAATAAATTTTGTGTTTTAATAAATCGATTAAATACGAATTTATTTAACAAAGTGAGCTTGAACATATTTTCAATGGGATTTTTTCTAAAAAAGTTTATTTTTAAAAATGTACAGTTTATTTTTCTTTGATTTTTGGACATGTTAAACTTTCATCCTTGCAACTGCTTTTACAAAATGAATTTTGGAAAAAAAATAATATTTTGTATTTTAAAAAATTTTTTAAATTAAGCTTCAGAGTACACATCTTTAAAAATGTGATTTTGGCAATAATTTTCCTTTCTTATTGTTGTTGATAAATTTTTGATGAAATCACATCATTTTGAATAGTTTCATTCTTTTAGGAATATGGGTTTGGCAACAATTTTTCATTTTATTTCTTATGTCACTGTTTTTAAGAGATTGTCATTTTTTTATATGCACAATACTTTTTTTTTATAAAGTTGTTTTGTAGAGTAAAATTCTGCATGGAATTTTTTGCTTTTTGAGTTCCTTTCATGTTATTTTTTGCTTATTTCACTGTAAGATATTTAAAAATTTTGCATGATTTTTTTTCTTCAACAGAAAGTGGTTAATTTTTTATTAGGATAATTAATATTGTATTAAGGGATATAGCTTATTTCATTGTAATTTTTTTCTCTTGAAAACTTGCAGTCATTCGGGTTACCTGAACCAAAGCGAAATGTTGAATCGGCAATGCACAGTGAAATTTGTCATGAAATGAGTTACAATTTGCAAGAACTTACAAAATGCTTAGAACATGTAAAGAAACTGGTTCCAGATCAAAAGAAAGCATTTGAAACAATTATGACCGCAGTTTCTAATCAAGGTGGTATTTTTTTTATTGATGCACCAGGTGGTACTGGGAAAACATTACGCATTAATCTGATACTGACAAAAGTTTGAGTTAAGAAACACATTGCGCTGGTTGTTGCATCCTCCGGAATTGCTATATTGCTAATGGTCCTCCCTTTTATAATGTAAGATATAATGCATGCTCCTACATAACAGGCTAATAATTCCAATCTGGGAATTGTTGCTTTTGCCAAGGGAGCAACTCTGCTCTTAACTTGAATTAAGTGAATTTTTACTTCAGCATGGTTTTCTTTACAAAAAAATACAACTGCGCTGTAAGCAGATTTACTAGCATCTACAAAAGTATGAAGACTTAATCCATCTCGGAAACCATCACAATCAACATATCTTGGAACTTTAATTTCCCATAATAAATGAAGATCTTCTGCCCACAGTGAAAATCTTTTACAAACACTTTCAGGGCATACCTCATCCCAGCCTAACTTAAAGAGTCCGGCTTTCTTGTATGAGCATCTTCATGCATACAGTTACAGGGCACAATATTCCGATGGGATCAAAAGTACTGTTGACAGCTGAAAGAATATTTCTTGTTACAGATTCTGTCTTAAAGGAAACATTTTCTATGTTACAAAAAAGGACATCTTTATTTCTGTTCCACAATAATCCAAGAACAGGAGATTCCTTTTCCTTTTTATCTCCTGTTAAAGAAGTATATTCCCATCCACATAGTCAAAACATGCTGAAGCTAGAATTTGTTTAGCCTCATGTACAAATTGCAGTAATTCCTTTTCATCAGATACAGATATTACACAGTTATCCATATAAGACATTTCTTAACTTCCACACAGTTTCTGGAAAATCATCACGGCATTCCTCCAAATGAAAATTAATGACTGCAACTAAGAGGAATGGATTGCATGTAAGTCCAAAGACTACCCTTTTATGACGATAAATTTTTAATTTTCATGAAATTCTCCCACCATAAAAATCTCAAATAGTCTTGATCTTCCGCAACAGAAATTTGTAAGAAGGCCTTTCTTATGTCTGAAATAATGCCAATCGATCTTTCCCGAAACCTCAGTAGCAGTGGAAGGATTTTCTCCAAGAGGTTTTGTCCTTTCTCTAGAACATTAGTGACGCAGAATGACCGGAGCTACATGAAGCATCGAAAACAGGTCGAACGCTTGTGGTGGAGTTTTTTTTTAAAACGCCTCGATGGGGTAAATAATGGCATGGGATATTTTCTTCTTCAGGTGGTACTTCTTCAGTAATATTCTCTGCTAAGCATTCCTGGAAAACAGCCTCATAATCTGCATATTTGCCTTCCTTAGTAAGTTTCTCCGCAGTTGATGCACACCTACGCTCTGCAACCAATTTATTTTCCTTCAGAATCTCCTGTTCTAGCCAAAGCAGCTTCACGATGTAACAACCTTCTTTATCCCTTCTCACCGTTCGCTGGAACTGTTGCATAACTAATTGATGTGTCTCTTCTTTAGATTTTATTTCAACAGGATCTTTGATGCCTAGATTATCCAAGTTCCACAGATCAGCAATTGATGCATTTTTTATCAGTAGAGAGGTGATTAAGTTTGCAGAGGTGTTAACAGGATTCTTATCAAACATTTTCCCCATAATCAGCCAGCCCAAAAGCGTTTCATATGCGACTAAGCCACACTTAAGATAATGAGTTTTTCCCGTAAACAAATGAACAAAAATCAGCTCCAATCAATATCTCGATATCGGGAAAATTCCATAATCATTAAGCCATGTCTTCTTTCCTTTAACTCCTTTTACCATGATCCTCCTTTCTTTAGTCGTGAAATTTTTCCACGAATAATAAACTGATATAGAGCTTCTATTTTACATGAAAATGTATTGTTTAAGGATTAAATGTCAAGTTCATACTGACGATGCTCCATCTCTGTCATTAATCCTCGAAAGAGTGTGTGAGTCAAAAACCTGTTGCCATTTGGTTCCATACCCATCTCTTCTACAGTTATAAAAAGAGTGGAAATAACAAATATGCCATTCATTAATATGAGTGGAAAAATAAATTGTATTTATTTTTAGGTGCCAAGCAAATATAAGTATGGTAAATTATTATTTATTTTCTCTATTTTTAATTGATATTTCATCATTAAATCTTGTAATATAATTTTGTTCTGCATAGTTTTTTTCTCTCGTAAACTAGTTCTGTAAATTGAGCTGTTATTTAAAATAATAATAATAAAAGAATGTAATTGTTTTCCATGGTAATGCTCATTCTCTCTTAATGAATACTGAATTTTAAATTACAAATCTAATTTCTTTTAAGGTTATGTAGTTGTGTATAATGCAATTAGGTACTTTTTTTTTTGTTGTTGTTGTTAAAATGTGTTTGAAAAGTGCTTATAGGCGTTTATTTATTTTTTTTTAATTAAAATGTGCCTACGAAACCTGTGTTTAGCACAATATATCAACGGTGATCTGAAGTGAAAATGGCAGGATGCTGTGAATTAACAATCAGTTCTGTTAGAAATGTAATATTTTATCTTTTTAATGTAAATATAAAAACATTTGAAGTAATCCCAGATATCTTTGATTTAATAAAATGATAGGAATTGCGTGCAATTGTTGAAAGTGACCTGGCACCCAAAAATTAGTATTTTAAAATTTTCAGCAGATTTAGAAGAATGTTTGCAATCAAGTTAAACTTGAAGCTAAAAGAGGCACATTAGTTCAAACAAGATCACCACAGAAAATTTTTCGTTTACAAAAAAAAAAAAAAAAAAAAAAAAAAAAGCCCGGCGTTCCCGATATTGGTAATAAGTTAGGTTTTTTTCATGTAGAACAGTGTTACATATGCAGAAATTAAATGCATTTGAATCCGATAGATTAACCAGTTAACTGTGATTGACGAGTATATTCGTTATGGAGAAGCGACACGATTTTGTGTATTGATGAGTATACTCGTCATGCATATATTATGTTAATGAAATGGAAAGATAAGAGGGAGGTTTATTTAGTAAGTACTGTACATAATGACAACGTAATATAAACAGAGAAAAGAAAAATAATAACAAAGAAACCGGAGCTAGTGATTGATTATAATAACAAAATGGGTGGAGTGGATATGAGCGATAGAATTATCATAGCGTACTCCACAGCAAGAAAACGACTCAAAAAGTACTACAAAAAGATATTTCTCCATTTCTTAGACATTATGTGTCTGATTGCATTCGTATTATATGGAAAAAAAAAGGAACCATCGCTTATCAATTTTTTGCTCAAATTTATTGAAGACACTTTTGCGACGTATGCAATTGAAAGAAATAAATCTACACAAACTCGGCCATTTAGACCTAATATAAGCCAATTAGGCAGGAGTCATGTTCTGGATTATATACTCGGAACATCGGGGGAAAAAAAAAAAACCCTACGCGAAGGTGTTCGCATTGCTACAAACGTAAGATCAGGAAGGAATCGCGTTACTGGTGTTCGATTTACTAAGTCCCATTGTGTATAGTACCCTGTTGTGCTGAATATCACACTACAGCAGGAAATTAAATTCTTGCTTTTATATGTATAATATTTAATTTATTGCGTTATTAGTTTTTTTAGTTTAAAATATGTATGTAATATATGCTTATGTTAACCAAACAAGTAAATATTAGGAATAAAATTTTCAGTTTTATAAAATAAACCCATCTTTTCCATCCAATATGTTACCAGCGCAGCTTACTCTGTGATTGACGAATATACTCGTCATGGCTCGATTCTGGCGACACAAAACGTCGCGCAATCTTAAACAAGAGCGCAACAGTTAACTGGTTAATATGTGGCAAAATCTGAATAAGAACTGAATTTGAAAAACCTTTTGCGTTAGAGTACATCCCTAAATCTTTGCCTGTGGTTATACAGCTGTTCTGGAATTAACAAAGCTGAATATACTTGAATCCAAGGAACATGCATGGGAAGAATTGGAGAATGAGTGTTAAAATAGTACTTCAGGACCCTCGTTTGTTTTCGGACATTTGTATTTTTCAAGTAGATCATAAATTGTTTCTCTCCTTCTGGTCCACAACAATCTCACTGTACAAATGGACTTCGAAATTTTCCAGACGTTCGGTTGAATATCTCTTTTCTAGGAGTGAATTTTAGCTAATAGATTTCTAATTAACGATATCCTGAGCAATTTATCTAGTGATGTAATTAATTTGATGCTTTTCTTTTGGGTTGCAGGTATTTTCCTAAATTTTTCTGCACCTATTTCTGTTTTTACTTAAGTGCATAATATGGCTAGGACGATCTAAATACACTGCTGGCCATTAAAATTTCAACACATGAAAGAAAGATATACAAAAAATATATTTATTGCACGTAAACAGTAGACATGAAGACAAAATGATTAAATTGGTAGGCATTTTGGAGGTTTACAGGGGTGAGAAATTAGTAGAAACATCTACCACTCCTAGCAGGTAAAACGGCCCTTACCTCATTAGGCACGGAGTCAAACTGGGCTTGGTTGACAGAAATGGGAAACTCATTCCTTGCTGCTTCAAGTCTACCACACTTCATCAACCGTATTAGCTGGAGAGGGTGCCGAGCCAGTCTCTCAGCAACCCATGACCAGATGTTTTCAATGGGTGATGGATCTGAAGAACGTTCAGGCCAGGGCAGCAATCGAGTACCTTGTGTACCTTGTGTTGTAAGGAAGGTAAGAACACGACTTGCAACATGTGATCTTTCATTATCTTGTTCGAGCATGGTGTTTGGGTGCCTCGATAGGGCACAACCACTGAACATAAGATGTCAGAAATGTACCCATCTGCTTTCAAATTGCCGTCGATCCGAACTAGAGATGCTGTCATGTACCAAATGGCTGGCCAAGCTATCACACTAGGTGCAAGGCCCCTATGCCGATATTGAATGCAAGTAGGCGATGTGCGTCTCTTCGGACACTCCAGACGCGTATATGCATCAGAACACTGAGACTCGTTTGAAAAGGCGACATTGTGCCACTCCTGTACCCAGCGTTGTCGTTTGGCGCATCAGAGTCTCTATGTTGCAGTGTTAAGGGAAGCTGAAGTAATGGTCACACTGCTGATAGACCACGCTGCTGAAAACATGCACATTTCCTGACTAAGGGTCCGTGATATGGTCTGCGGTTTTTGCAGGACTGACCTAAGAATATGCCTGTCCTCGTTAGTCATGGGAGAGCGTTGAGATCCTGCATGCCGTTCAGCATGACCTTCACCAATCCATTGGTTCCATATTCGCATGACCGTGGTTGGATGTTGACTAGTGTGACCGGCGATGTCACGGATCGATAATTTGCACTTTCGATAGGAAATGATCCTGCCTCTATCGAATTTTGAAACTTGCTGATTAAGCATTTCCTTTCTTATTCAAGGCATAACACGATGAGCAAATTCCAAACTTAGAAAGCACTTTACGAATGAGAAATCCACTACACAACTTCTCTTTTATGCAGTGCTTCAGATGTCATTTCTCCCTCCTATGTCGTCTAAAGTGCACTGAGATACTTATCATTTGCATAGCCCACTTTTTCTTTCTTGTAATTTTGACGTTCGTCAGATCATTCCTTCCTGGTGTTGCAATTTATGGCCAGCAGGATTTATTTGCAATTTATGGCATTTCTTGGATTTGCAAGTGAAGGAAGCAATTTTGTAGTAAGCTTGTGTATTTTTTCTTCAGTATCTCGACAGTGGTGGAAATTAGTTCTGCAAGGCATGTTGACCAGTTGTTCTCTATACTGTTCCTAGTTAACTTTAGAATTTTGATTTTGAACAGGTGGGTAAAAGCCATAAAAGCTGAAACTGACTTTTACTTCCACGTATATTACTGTTCAACCTTTTTAAAACGTACTTGTTTTCGAAAAACTTAATTCGAAGTATTTTTAAATAAAAAATTAGTTTTAAGTAACTTTTAATCGGACACTTTGAATAAACAATTTATATTTAATGAAAACTAAAATAACAGGTTAATCAGTATTTTATTGGATTCCTTCAGCCCTTCCCTACAGCTACACTCTTCATGAGCTTTGTCATGTATTCAACTAAAGTTTTCGAGCGACGAATGTTCCATTTTGTTCTCAGTTTCTGAAGTAAATCGTCATTTTAGCCTCAGCGCGCTGGAGCCCTGAATAAAATGTACCCTGTACTTCCTTTATGTAAGTGAAACAGTTTCAGCAGACAAATTTTATTTTAGAAACAAACACACCTTTAAAATCGATTATAACTTCCGAATTCCTGCCTGTTTTTCTCTGGAGAATAAATACTTTGGCGGAGGTTAGACTTTTAAGGAAAGAAAAGCCCCATCAACATGTCAAAGGCTTAATCTCCAGATAGTGCAATAAATTTATGAAAGCGGGTAAAATGTTTTGTTCTTGAACGTATTAACAGAGATCACCTTAGTCTTCCATGTCCAGTGCTAGTGACCTCTCTCAGCAGAGGTTCTACAATACCCAAATGGGGGGGGGGATTGTCGCATATCACCTTACATTTGTTCTCATCTTGTCATCGGATTGAATTCGGGGGAAATGTTTTTGACTATTATGTTAGCTGTAACCGTAATTCGACCCTCATATTGCTTTCCAGTAATTTCGAGAAGCAAAAAGTCCTAGAAATATC